AGTAAACTAAAGTTACAGAAGGTGGACTACAGATATTATTCTACTTCAAATTCAAATCAAAAACAAACAGACAGAAAGCAACACTGACAAAAGAGACTTATAAACTGTCCAAATAAAACCACTTCATCTGGAAAAACTCCAGGCTACAAAAGTTGAAAACAAACTGTCTGTTGGGTCACTAGGGTTCAAAACAATTCCAAACAAAATGTGTGAAGTTTCTACCAGTAGATGAGATCATCTCTTGTTCAAATGGGGTACACAGTCCTAAAAATGATACTCTCAACAGTCTCGGACCTAACATCCATATCACATCACACACTGTAGGTATCAAATCAAACAAGGTTTTCAACATTTTCAACAACTGCACGATCTGTTCCCTGTTCAGGTGTAGTGTAATGTCAGTACAAAAGTTCATGTCCCGTGTAATGTCAGTACAAAATGTAAATACAGATAAATGTATCAGCTTTCATCATTCAAGCATAACTCCAGTCCACATGAATTGCCAAGTTTCTGATGAAGGTAGAAGACTTCAGAGACTCATTGAACAATATGTTTTGTACATTCCTACTGGTAATAAATTAACACATATTAATCTCTTCGAATTCACAATTATTTACAACATGACTGTCCATCATCCTGATCTGCACCCAGTGTCTCCATAAATGTACTTAATAACCTGATACTGGTAAGAAACTTCTTCCATCAACTGGAAGCAACCAAAAAAGAAAAACCCTCTTACCGGTATTACTAGACATGATAATTACGACATTGGTCTCAGAACTATGACTGCCAGATACAGTATAAAAGCATCTTTGAAAACATTTTAAGTTGATGCAGAGACACATATTTTGAAACATGCAAGTGATTTCAGTTTGGGAATGTTCAACTTCAAACCTACCCAAATCAAGTACCATCTCTGTACAACATGCAGAGTATAGTGTTTTTAAAAAGGTGATCGAAGCCACATCTATTCTAATTAGACACTTATTGCAAACCTATCAAGTCCCCCGTTCCTTGTGCTTTTTCATGCCAGCTCTATACTCAGTTAGTTTGCATTTCCAATGTTTTAATGGTAGTCCCTTATGTTTTAAAGAAAGATACTGTTTATGATACCATTCAGAAGAGCTGTCTAAGTTAAAACTTTTGTTCCATCACAAAGAATTGTTCTCACTTAGACCTTTCAACCAGTCCCTCTGGTCGTCTTCAATAGACTGACCCAGTGAGACTTCTCGGTGGTTTCTCTGAAAAAGATGTCAACACTGGGTCAATGGTATCTGGTCAAAAGCTCTAGGTGAGAACAAGTCTTTGTGTTGGAACAAATGTGTGGTAACTACCAACACAGATGGACTCTCATGTTAATAGGTATAGAGCATAATTAGTAGGGAAACTTGACAGGTGCTAAGCAACCAATAACAACAGAATGGTGTTGAACATCGATCACAATCTAGCTGTTTCTACCTTTTGTTAAAAAATGTTCCCAAAGTGACCCCCTCATCCCCAAAGGAATAATGGAAGAGTCTTATCTATGTGCTTAGCTTCTATTGATATCTAATAGTATGAAGTACATGTACCTTCCAACTACATTGCTTATTTACAATTTACTCATTGACAATTATTTTGAATGCACTGAATGTTCAAATTGTGGGAGTACATCACTTACTTCCTCAAATGATTTTCAGGTTTCTCTACAATCTATATTGGTCACTACATCAGCAACTTTCAACAAATGGAATAAAATCAAGGTGGATTTGTTGTAGGTAACATGTGTTTATATCTAAAAACAGATAACAGATTTGCACTTTTAGCATGCTAAAAAAGATTCTGATGTACATTGAACTATAGTTTTAACAATTGTTGCATGGCCTCCTTGATTTTATTGTTTGGTATTGTTATTGACTAATACATACCTGTAATTTGGCCACACAAATTGCAGTTCTTGTTGTTTCAGTTTATACATATTATTAGGTAGTTCTGTTTTGTGAATAAACAACTCTGATGATATCCAATAACAGCAGAGAAATCTAACCACAGTCTGGTACATGTAGTGTATTTTTCCACAGGTGAATGTTGGCACGTTACAGAGCAGAGAATGTGTGCTGTGAACAAGTCGTACAGCTGCAGAGGTTAAGACTGGTCCCGGTGTGTTGGCAGTGTTGTGATGATTCACTAGGACGTGTTCATTGGTCGATAGGTAGATCAAATGGAGAGGTCTTGGTGAGTTGTAGCAGTGCACCTACAGCTCCAAAGTAACCCTGAAACAAACAACAGAAGACATTATTTGGTCTCTTCCATGGTACACAGATCTACACATGTACATTCAATATTGTAGATCTGAAAGCTACATGTTACTAGCAAACCTTCCTGCATGTGTCACCAAAAGTGTTTTTAGTAGACACACATTTTTGTGCAATTAACAATAACCATGCAGAGATACTGCTATTCACTTTATCTTCAAGGTACTAGTAGCAAAAATTGACAGCCTGAGAAAAATGGACATGTTCATGGAACTATTATGTTCATGGTGGCGACAGGTACAGGAAAAAGAAAGTCGAGGAATTACTTGTTAACAGTAATGAGAAGTTTGCGGTACAGAAGTGACCTTGAAAACCGTGAACATATCAGGAATCACAGTATAGTGGCCAGTAAATGCCCTCCTACTCAATTAATTATGAAGACTTGTGCAGGAATGAATGACTGCATTTAGGATCACAGACTTATCAAATTTTCACCCCCAATCAAGCCTCACCTCATGTTCCAGAAAGAGTGCCTTGAGTTGTCCGCTTGACCAGAAGTCCATGGCATCAGCCAGAAGCTTCATGGAGATGGGGTTCACTCGCAAGAAGTTCCCAACAAACACCACACGTTCAATTTTCTGTTGGCAATGTAAAATATTACAGTTAAGTTACAATTAAGTACACTATACCATGGGTCAACACTTGAAGGCACCATTGGTGAAAGCTACATGCATGATGTAGTCAGGCTAAAGACCTGAATGCCTACCTCAGTGAGGGCACACATGCGGGCTATGGAGCCAATGTTGTTGGTGATGGTGACCAGTGTCGCTCGTGCCAGGTCCTCCTTACTGGCAGCTTCCCTCTTCTCCTTGATGTGCATGTTGCCAAAACTAGACAAACGGAACATTTAAATGTACAATCTGTCCTCTGTTCTTCAAACAAAGCAATGTTGCTCATCGCATATGTCTGAAAGTGATTGATTGTAGATTGTACTCTTTCACTAAATATTTCTTACATTATTGCAACATATACAGTTAAGCAAAGCTAAAGCAGTCCAAAGGCGAGTAACTTACGTTGCTTTTGGAAATCATTCAGAATTGTGCTTAAACAAATACAGAGTCTCCATGCAGGAAAAAGTCAATGACAAATATACATGTATAACTAGAATTCCGAGATCTCATACCTCCATGAAATATGATCTTGATATGTAAATGTAAATTTCTTCTTTAATTGTTCAAATGACCTCTGCATTAACATGATATATGCATCGTGATGTATGTTAACTTTTGTATTAACTTACAGATGTCCCAAGTATGACATTCTCATCATTCACCATTACGAAATCATAGAATTTTCACATTAATTATGCAAATTAGGTCATCATTTGCATAATTAGTATCTGTTGAAGTTCCGCCTGCCCTAGGTTACATAGTATAATGTAAAACACTGTAATTATAGAATTTCCTCATTAATTATGCAAATAAAGTCCTCATTTGCATAATTTGCATTTAATTATGTACATCTCTCTCTCAGCTACCTACACACCAAAAATAATGAAAATATGTTGTTCCTGTCTGGACTTATTGGCTTTTAAACATTTCGCCAGAAAGTGCCCTGCAGTTCCAGAACAAGCCGCTAGGGGGCCTAAACTCATATGACTTCTTCCCAAGCACGAGAGCTACCTTCCATCAAAATTTCATGACCCTAGCATGTCCAGATCGCGAGATATCAAAAACCGGAAGTTGCGCTGCAGTACCAAGGGAAGCCACTAGGGGGACCAAAATCTCATCATTTCCAGTTTTTGTCACACCCTACCAACACACCAAGTATGAAACCAATCCATCCAGGCGTTCTTGAGTTATCTTGTTGACCAACAGACAGACAGAAGGACGGACGGATAAACGCAACTGAAAATATAACCTCCATGACACATTTCATGGAGGTAACAAGGACAGAGAGTTACCTTGATGCAACAGTGTCTCCAGAGAGTGCAAAGCGCGTGTAGTCACCACCGTAGATATCCTTGACCAACTTATCCACATTATTACTGTTCCCGTTTGCAGCC